GTGGCTATTGCCCAGATTACCCAGCTGGATTGATTTGATTGATTTCCTAATTAAGGTTTAGACCCTGCCTACAAAAGGCGGGCCATTTCCTCCTGGCTGCGGGAGATGCAATGACATCCTTGGAGCCGCAGCCTGGGCTGGTGAGCAACATCCAAACTAAGGGAAAATGGAGAAGCTGCTGTTTTCTGACACCCCAGGTGTTTCAAAGTTGGGCTTAATTTCAGTGCTGGGTGTTAGAGTAAAGCAACTGAAAAAGCCCAGGTAACACTGCCATCAGTAATGCGGTTTACTTTACCAGGGGAGGGTTGCCAGACCACGTTGGAACAAGCAACCTTCACGTTTTGATGCAGCTCCTTTTTAAAAGTTACATTTTATTTTAAAGTTATGTTTATGGAAGACAAGAACAAATCACCATGAAATATGCAAAACAAGACATTTATTCTTAGAAAAGCAGTCAGAATTATGTACAGTAAGCCACAGTGAAAAAGTAAAATCACATACTGCCATCTTCAAGATCCTTCCAACGTGCCTTCTTTGACAATGACTCGTGCAAGATTTCGTGCAAGAGCAAGTCTCAGCATTTCCACTTTCATACTCTCCACATCATCATCCTAAAAGCAAGCAGGGTTTGGGTTAGACTGCGACATGCAGCAGTGCGCTGGCAGTAAGTTCTCCTTCTGAGTTTTGGAAAGTAAGGATGCAGGTCATTAAGAGGGAGAGCACATCTGTATCTGCCTGTCCCAGAGACCTCCTGAGAAGAGCAAAAGCTACATTTCCTACTTCTTAGATCAAAATAAGACAGCATTGCCAAGCCTTTTGTTTTTCTGGCAGCTGCAGAGGTTTGCATGTGTAGCAAATGGCTCCCTGTTCCATTCCTGGAACGTTTCATAGCTTGAGCTGTTAAATGGCAGCAACTCAGCTTTTCGTGGCCCGTGTAATTCGCAATTATGTATCTTGGAAAAGCATCACAGTCCAACCCAAACCAGCAGAACAGTGAAGAGCAGAAGTACTCCCGTACTGGTTTTGTACACACCGAAGTATCTCTTGATGATGCCCCGTTTGACTGGGCGTTAAAAATAACAGCACGTGCCAGCCGTGGTAACGCAGGCTCTCCTGTTTCTGCCCCCAGGTAGGAATATGAATTCAGAGGTTGCTCTCCCCGACTCTCCCCACAGCCCCACTGATGCGTTACCCAGTTGTCCTCAAAACAGGAGCTACCTGGAATTTCCGTGTATCCAACTTCCCTGCTGTCAGGTCTTCCAGGCATCGCATCAACTCGTAGGTCTGCTCTGCTGAAAATATGACCTGTGGAAATGAAAGTATTTACTGTAAACAATCAAGTTTAAGGACTTGATAATTAACTTAATTATATTATATTAACTTAATAACGTTAATATCACGCAGTCTGAGGAGAGAACTCAGCTGAAAGGAAGAGAATGCTCTCACACTCTCAGGGATCCATTCTGACCCTTTAAATCACAGGATCAGAGGATAATTCAGGCTGGAAGCGCCTTTGGGAGGTGTCTAGTGCCACCTCCTGCGCAAAGCGAGGTCAGCTATGAGGTCAGAGGCGTGCTCTGGGCTTTATCCAGTCATGGGTTTGTAATTGCTAAACTCCCATTTTCTTCATGGATCTTATAGCAAAAATTTGGTTTAGGAGAAGGAAGCACACTAGAAAAATCTTCAAGTACCAGAAGGAACTGGATGCAGTGTGTACTTAAATTATTAGCATATATGTATTCCACTGCTGTTTCCTAAAAGCAGGGAACCAAGTTAAGAGTTGACTGTCCTGTCCTGGGTCCTGCGTGCTCCTACTGATAGGACACTTGGATAGCTGTTCGGTTCTGGAACTCCCACAGGTCACAGCCCGGGGGCAGAAAGGGGGTCACCAGTTTGAGATCCCTTGTCAGGAAGAAAAGAAGGGAGGTGGGGGGCTTTGTCATGTGTGCCCAGCCTGCTCACCTCTTTCTGCTCCAGCAGGGGAAGGGCATCCGTCAGCAGGGTCATCCAGAAGGAGCAAGGAGCGATGTGAGCTGTCATCAACATCAAAAGCAACTTGGCAGCCTCAGAGAACCGCTTCTCCCCGTACAGCCGGTGGAATTCTCGG